GATAAGTTGACATGTTGGGATTTTGTTTACTTTGTAATTTTTCATTTTTAAGTATATTTTTTTTTTTTTTTGAGTGACACAAATGTATGCCTTCATTTTGTCTTAATAATGGGTAATAAATTATCAAATGATTACAGATAATATGGAAAATTACATTAAAACGCAATGACGTTTTTTTTAATGGGATGCCCTAATAGAAAGTTAATTAATAACTTTTAGTCCAAGGCTATTTCTTTAATATTAAAATCAATAACAACTTCAAATCAACAATTCCTTAATTGTACCTAAAATTTTTCTTTGGCAACTCTGTGTATGGTTTATGTCATAACAATTTATGTTTGTAAACACTTGAGTTAATTTTCTTAAACCATTTCATGACAATTGCTATTTAATGTGCTGAATAATGTTAAATTTACGTTATAATAATAATTTTTTAAATTTTACGTAAATGTTTCATAGAACTTTGTAAAATACATATTTTTAATACACAATAAGTCTTCGTTAAATCCTTTACAAATGAAAATTTATTTTTAATATAAATCAAAGTATTTTGATGATATTTTTTAGAGATCATGGACAGAAATCAAATATATTTTTTACGGTTTACAAACCACTTCAATTTTGATAAGATTTTCATATAGAAATTATTTTTTTTTAAATTGCAATTGGTGGACAAAACGCTCATTTACTTTAAGAGTGTTCTAATTGAAAAATTTAAGTTTCAATAAAAATTAAATGAGCCACTTTTTCTATAGAATAAATGTCAGTAACTGAGCAATTTTTTCTATAGAAAAATTTGTTGGTAACAAAGTAACTTTTTCTATAGAATAAATGTTAGTAACTGAGCAATTTTTTCTATAGAAAAGTTGTTGGTAACAAAGCAACTTTTTCTATAGAAAAGTTGTTGGTAACAAAGCAACTTTTTCTATAGAAAAGTTTTTGGTAACAAAGCAACTTTTTCTATAGAAAAGTTGTTGGTAACAAAGCAACTTTTTCTATAGAAAAGTTTTTGGTAACAAAGCAACTTTTTCTATAGAAAAGTTTTTGGTAACAAAGCAACTTTTTCTATAGAAAAGTTGTTGGTAACAAAGCAACTTTTTCTATAGAAAAGTTGTTGGTAACAAAGCAACTTTTTCTATAGAAAAGTTGTTAGTAACAAAGTAACTTTTTCTATAGAAAAGTTGTTGGTAATAAAGCAACTTTTTCTATAGAAAAGTTGTTGGTAACAAAGCAACTTTTTCTATAGAAAAGTTGTTGGTAACAAAGCAACTTTTTCTATAGAAAAGTTGTTGGTAACAAAGCAACTTTTTCTATAGAAAAGTTGTTGGTAACAAAGCAACTTTTTCTATAGAAAAGTTTTTGGTAACAAAGCAACTTTTTCTATAGAAAAGTTTTTGGTAACATAGCAACTTTTTCTATAGAAAAGTTGTTGGTAACAAAGCAACTTTTTCTATAGAAAAGTTGTTGGTAACAAAGCAACTTTTTCTATAGAAAAGTTTTTGGTAACAAAGCAACTTTTTCTATAGAAAAGTTGTTGGTAACAAAGCAACTTTTTCTATAGAAAAGTTGTTGGTAATAAAGCAAGTTTTGCTATAGAAAAGTTGTTGGTAACAAAGCAACTTTTTCTATAGAAAAGTTTTTGGTAACAAAGCAACTTTTTCTATAGAAAAGTTTTTGGTAACAAAGCAACTTTTTCTATAGAAAAGTTGTTGGTAACAAAGCAACTTTTTCTATATAAAAGTTGTTGTTAACAAAGCCACTTTTTCTATAGAAAAGTTGTTGGTAACAAAGCAACTTTTTCTATATAAAAGTTGTTGTTAACAAAGCAACTTTTTCTATAGAAAAATTGTTGGTAACAAAGCAACTTTTTCTATATAAAAGTTGTTGGTAACAAAGCAACTTTTTCTATATAAAAGTTGTTGTTAACAAAGCAACTTTTTCTATATAAAAGTTGTTGGTAACAAAGCAACTTTTTCTATAGAAAAGTTGTTAATGACAAAGCAACTTTTTCTATAGAAAAGTTGTTGGTAACAAAGCAACTTTCTCTATAGAAAAGTTGTTGGTAACAAAGCAACTTTCTCTATAGAAAAGTTGTTGGTAACAAAGCAACTTTTTCTATAGAAAAGTTGTTGGTAACAAAGCAACTTTTTCTATAGAAAAGTTGTTGGTAACAAAGCAACTTTTTCTATAGAAAAGTTGTTGGTAACAAAGCAACTTTTTCTATAGAAAAGTTGTTGGTAACAAAGCAACTTTTTCTATAGCAAAGTTGTTGGTAACAAAGCAACTTTTTCTATAGAAAAGTTGTTGGTAACAAAGCAACTTTTTCTATAGAAAAGTTGTTGGTAACAAAGCAACTTTTTCTATAGAAAAGTTGTTGGTAACAAAGCAGCTTTTTCTATAGAAAAGTTGTTGGTAACAAAGCAGCTTTTTCTATAGAAAAGTTGTTGGTAACAAAGCAGCTTTTTCTATAGAAAAGTTGTTGGTAACAAAGCAAATTTTTCTACATAAAAGTTGTTGGTAACAAAGCAACTTTTTCTATAGATAAGTTTTTGGTAACAAAGCAACTTGTTCTATAGAAAAGTTGTTGGTAACAACGCAACTTTTTCTATAGAACAGTTGTTGGTAACAAAGCAACTTTTTCTTTAGAAAAGTTTTTGGTAACAAATCAACTTTTTATATAGAAAAGTTGTTGGTAACAAAGCAACTTTTTCTATAGAAATGTTGTTGGCAACATAACAACTTTTTCTATAGAAAATTTGTTGGTAACATAGCAACTTTTTCTATAGAAAAGTTGTTGGTAACATAGCAAAATTTTTCTATAGAAAAGTTGTTAGTAACAAAGCAACTTTTTCTATAGAAAAGTTGTTGGTAACAAAGCAACTTTTTCTATAGAAAAGTTGTTGGTAACAAAGCAACTTTTTCTATAGAAAAGTTGTTGGTAACAAAGCAACTTTTTCTATAGAAAAGTTGTTGGTAACAAAGCAACTTTTTCTATAGAAAAGTTTTTGGTAACAAAGCAACATTTTCTATAGAAAAGTTGTTGGTAACAAAGCAACTTTTTCTATAGAAAAGTTGTTGGTAACAAAGCAACTTTTACTGTAGAAAAGTTGTTGGTAACATTAAGAAAAGTTGTTGGTAACAAATCAACTTTTTATATAGAAAAGTTGTTGGTAACAAAGCAACTTTTCTATAGAAAAGTTGTTGGTAACAAAGCAACTTTTTCTATAGAAAAGTTGTTGGTAACAAAGCAACTTTTTCTATAGAAAAGTTGTTGGTAACAAAGCAACTTTTTCTATAGAAAAGTTGTTAATGACAAAGCAATTTTTTCTATAGAAAAGTTGTTAATGACAAAGCAACTTTTTCTATAGAAAAGTTGTTAATGACAAAGCAACTTTTTCTATAGAAAAGTTGTTAATGACAAAGCAACTTTTTTTATAGAAAAGTTGTTAATGACAAAGCAACTTTTTTTATAGAAAAGTTGTTGGTAACAAAGCAACTTTTTCTATAGAAAAGTTGTTGGTAACAAAGCAACTTTTTCTATAGAAAAGTTGTTGGTAACAAAGCAACTTTTTCTATAGAAAAGTTGTTGGTAACAAAGCAACTTTTTCTATATAAAAGTTGTTGTTAACAAAGCAACTTTTTCTATAGAAAAGTTGTTGGTAACAAAGCAACTTTTTCTATAGAAAAGTTGTTGGTAGCAAAGCAACTTTTTCTATAGAAAAGTTTTTGGTAACAAAGCAACTTTTTCTATAGAAAAGTTGTTGGTAACAAAGCAACTTTTTCTATAGAAAAGTTGTTGGTAACAAAGCAACTTTTTCTATAGAAAAGTTGTTGGTAACAAAGCTACTTTTTCTATAGAAAAGTTGTTGGTAACAAAGCTACTTTTTCTATAGAAAAGTTGTTGGTAACAAAGCAACTTTTTCTATAGAAAAGTTGTTGGTAACAAAGCAACTTTTTCTATAGAAAAGTTGTTAGTTACTAAAGAACTTTTCCTATAGAAAAGTTGTTAGTAACTAAAGAACTTTTCCTATAGAAAAGCTGTTAGTAACTAAGCAACATTTTCTATAGAAAAGTTGTTAGTAACTAAGCAACTGGACCTACCTAGTGTTGCATTATTTCAAGTCTTCGTATCTGATTATCTCGCCCTCTTTGTATGAAGTTGTCTGTTACTGAGCATGCATATATAGTACTAAAACTATATATTCCTTAAAAGATTTATTTTACCTAATAAGTGTTGCCAGATTGTTCAAAAAGTATGTACTAAAGAATGCCAAAAAAGTATCAAGTTCGTAAACTTTACTTTTTGCTGAAATATTTTATTGAGATAGCATGATAGCATCTTTACTTTAAAAAAAAATCGAGCTTTTAGCTAATAAGTGTTGCCAGATTGTTAAAAAATATGTACTAAACAATGTAAAAAAGCCGCAAATTCCAAAATTGTACTTTTTGCTGCATTTATAGAAACCTGTGCTAAGATGCGTTCCCATTAATGAAATATTTGATTGAAAAAACTTGACAACTTAAAATAATCCAACAAATTGCTTAAAAGTATAATCAAAGCATTAACTTTGCATTACTAATATATACAATTTTGAAGCAATGACAACCCTGCTTGCCCCTTTCTTAACCTGTTGTTAAACCACCGTTAAAACATTGATAAGTTACGGATTTTATTACTACTAAAATATGAATTTTGAATTGTTCTACTTAATTTTTAATAACTATTACTATTCTCTTCATAAAAGTTTGAATTAATAAAAAATATTTTGTTTAAACTTCTAGGTAGACCCCTGATTTTTTTGTAGTTAAAATTTTTAAATAATATATATACTTAAGTTCCCTTTTTAAAGCATGTTAATTAATTATTTATCTAACTATTTAATCACTATTTTAAAAGCAAATTATTAATGTACGTATGTATGTATTTTTTAAAAAAATATCACTGTTTTATAAATATTAATATAATACTCTTTAACTAATTAATGTTTTTTCTCTCCTAGAACCTCAATCGTTTTGGAGATTCTATGGGTTCGTTGGGACATCGTGCACTTCTACAATATGTGGATACAAACGATTTATCCGGTCTCCGTGCTATCTTAGATAGTCGTCATTTATCTGTTGATGATCGTGATGAAAATGGCACCACCGTACTCATGGTTGTGGCAGCTCGTGGTCTAACACCTTTTGTGCGTGAATTTTTGGCACGTGGCGCTGATATTCAAGCCGAAGATAATGATAATTGGACAGCTCTATTGTGTGCCTCGAAAGCAGGGCATTTTGATATAGTTCAATTGTTATTGGATCATGGTGCTGATATTGAACATCGTGATATGGTATGTTTTAAAAGTTCTGAACTTTGCTTATACATATAATATTGTCATTTGTTTATTAGGGTGGTTGGACTGCCTTAATGTGGGCTGCTTATCGTGGTCACACGGAATTGGTGCGTTTCCTGTTGGACAAAGGAGCCGATGTTAATGTCCATGGCAATTATCATTTGGGCCCTCTATTGTGGGCCGCCGGTCGTGGTTTTAAGGATATTGTGGAAATGTTAGTTAGTCGTGGAGCTAAAGTTAATGTGGGTGATAAATATGGTACGACTGCCTTAGTGTGGGCTTGTCGCAAGGGCAATGTGGAGATTGTGGATACTTTGTTGAAGGCTGGCGCCAATGTAGATACAGCTGGCATGTATTCTTGGACGCCTTTGTTGGTTGCCGTTACTGGTGGACACACCGAATGTGTTATATCTCTGCTGGAAAAGAAACCCAATGTCAATGCCCTGGACAAAGATGGCATGACTGCTTTGTCTATAGCTTCACGAGAAGGTTATCAGGAAATTGCTGCCGCCTTAATTGCAGCTGGTGCTTATATTAATATACAAGATCGTGCGGGCGATACTCCTCTTATACATGCCGTTAAAGGTGGACATCGTAGTGTGGTAGAGGCTTTGCTGAAAAAACATGCCGATGTTGATATTCAGGGCAAAGATCGCAAAACGGCCATTTATACGGCCGTGGAAAAGGGTCACAATCAAATAGTGAAAATTTTGTTACAAACTAATCCTGATCTCGAAGCGGCTACCAAAGATGGCGATACCGCCTTACTAAAAGCCGTACGCAATCGCAATTTGGATATAGTACAAATGTTATTAGATCGTAAAGCTAAGGTTGGTGCTAGTGATAAGAAAGGTGATACTTGCCTACACATTGCCATGCGTGCTAGATCGAAGGCGATAGTGGAGGCTCTATTAAGAAATCCTAAAAACAGTCAATTGTTATATAGACCCAATAAATCGGGCGAGACGCCTTATGTTATAGATACCTCCCATCAAAAGACAATTTTGGGCCAAGTCTTTGGTTCGAGACGTTTAAATACCAATGAGGACTCTGAAGGTATGCTGGGCTATGAATTGTATTCTTCTGCCTTGGCCGATGTCTTGAGTGATCCCACTTTAACCACACCCATAACTGTGGGCTTATATGCCAAATGGGGTAGTGGCAAATCTTTCCTGCTTAACAAACTTAAAGATGAAATGACTAACTTTGCCAGACAATGGGCTGAGCCGCCTTTAAAAACGGGTGGCCTATTATTTTTGGTGTGTTTTCATTTAGCTTTAATACTGGGCACCATTGTAGGTTTGGCTACTTGGTCAGCTCTATGGGGCAGTGTGGCCGGTGTTAGTTTCTTAGTGTTTGCCTATCTGCTCTTAGCCATAATACGTTATTGCAATTATCAAATGGACATGTACTGGGCTTATTCCATAGATCATGGAATACTCAAGCGCATTGGACGTCTAAGACTGATACTACAAGTAGCCTTTTGTCATCCGCCCGGTGCTCAGGCCGACACACAAGCCAAACCAGTGCGTTTTCATTTTGCTGAAGCCAGTAGTGCTTCGCCCACAGGAGAAGGTGCTGTTGCCCATATGCTAGCCTCGCTATTTGAAGCCATTGAAGGTCACTATGGCTGGTTGTCGACTAGACTCTATAGAGCCTTTCGTCCTAAGCCCTTAAAAGTTACCGCTGGTTGGCGCTGGCGTCGCATGTGTTGTGTTCCTATAGTGGTTATCTTTGAGGTTGGTTTGCTGGCTTTAATTGCTGGTCTTTCATTGGTGGTGGCCTATTTTGCTCATGGCACTAATGTCGAACGTGATAATGTCTTGGTGCCGATTTATGTTATCAGTGCAGTGTTTATTTGTATTATCTGTACAAATCTTCATGTGCTGGCGAAAGCAGTTGGTTCATTGTTTGTGTCGCAGGGTCGCCATCTTAAGCGTACGGTGCGTTCCAATGAGGGTGCTCCACTGACGGCTTTGGGCGCTGAGGTGGCTTTAATGACCGATATGGTGAAGGTAAGTTCCGAGGTTTTCATAATTTATTACTCTTAAGAGGCGAGCGAGCGAGCGAGCGAGCGAGCGAGGAGCGAGCGAGCGAGCGAGCGAGCGAGCGAGCGAGCGAGCGAGCGAGCGAGCGAGCGAGCGAGCGAGCGAGCGAGCGAGCGAGAGCGAGCGAGCGAGCGAGCGAGCGAGCGAGCGAGCGAGCGAGCGAGCGAGCGAGGAGCGAGCGAGCGAGCGAGCGAGCGAGAGCGAGCGAGCGAGCGAGCGAGCGAGCGAGCGAGCGAGCGAGCAGCGAGAGAGCGAGCGAGCGAGCGAGCGAGCGAGAGAGCGAGCGAGCGAGCGAGCGAGCGAGCGAGCGAGCGAGCGAGCGAGCGAGCAGCGAGCGAGCGAGCGAGCGAGCGAAGCGAGCGAGAGCGAGCGAGCGAGCGAGCGAGAGAGCGAGCTAGCGAGCGAGCGAGCGAGCGAGCAGGACGAGCGATCGAGATCTACGATCTATCGAGCGAGCTATCGAGCGATCTAGATCGAGCGAGCTATCGAGCGAGCGAGCTAGACTATCTATCTATCTATCATCTATCTATCTATTCTATCTATCTATCTATCTATCTATCTATCTATCTATCTATCTATCTATCTATCTATCTATCTATCTATCTATCTATCTATCTATCTATCTATCTATCTATCTATCTATCTATCTATCTATCTATCTCTATCTATCTATCTATCTATCTATCTATCTATCTATCTATCTATCTATCTATCTATCTATCTATCTATCTATCTATCTATCTGTCTATATAATTTCTTTATAACTACGAATTAATAACGTTATACTATTGGATTTTTCTTTTTGATTTCAGTGCCTCGATGCTTTCACCAGTCAACAGAGCCGTTTGGTAGGCGTTGTTGATGCGTTAGACTCCTGTGATACCGAAAGAATTTATCCGTTCTCAATGCTATACAAACTTTACTTTCATCACCGAATCGTCCGTTTGTTGTTCTCATTGCCGTTGATCCACATGTTATTGCTAAAGCTGCCGAGGCCAATAGTCCGTCGACTCTTACTGAGGGCGGTATTGGCGGTCATGATTTCCTAAGAAATTTAATACAATCTTCCTGTATATTTGCAAAATTCTGGTTTACGTAAAGTGCAAAGAGCACAAATGACCGCTTTGCTGTTCAAAACGTAATTACGGCGAATTACAGGGCGATGATGCACCCACATTGGGTCATTCGGTATCGGCAAGACGTCTATCAAATGCTTCGGAAATAATGTCAAGTCAAGAGAAATTAAGAGGACCTATGGGTGCTGGTGGTCGTGGGGCTGGACCCGGTAAAAAATTACGTTTATCCGAATCGGTGGCCAGTTCGATTGGTTCGAATCTACATCGTTTGGGACAAAATCCACAAGGTGTTATAGATATGTCAAAGATAATGTTGACAGACGACTACTTTAGCGATGTTAATCCGCGCAGTATGAGGCGGCTGATGAATGTTATTTATATTACAGTGCGTTTATTAAAAGCATTCCAAATTGATTTTAGTTGGTATCGTTTAAGTTCTTGGATTAATTTAACCGAACAATGGCCATTAAGAGCCAGTATGATTGTATTGTATCATGATCAATTTATGGATCAATTTGATGATAGTCTTTCCCTGCAAGCTGTATATGAAAAGTAGGTTTAGCTTGGCACAAAATTATATTTTTGAAATAATTTTAATGATTTTATAATGTTTTAGAGTACGTCCCAAGTTAGCTTGTTTGCGTGAAGCTGCTACTTTGTTAGAATTAGATCGTGATGAACGTAAATTAGATGCCTTTCTACAATTGCATAAATCTGATCTTTTAGTGGCAGATTTACGTATATTTCTTCCATTTACCATTAATTTAGATCCATATTTAAGAAAAGTATTAAAAGGTGAGATTCATGTTTACGGTTTAAGACA